AAAATATTAGACTCGTCTTTTGACGAAGACAAATTATTTATTAAAAATTATTTATTAATTACTTATTAATTATTTATTCAATAAAGTATGACTTTTATGTTATTTTATGCTATATATTGAAATGTAAATATTAAAGTCTTTTAAGTCTCAAGAGAAATTCTTATTTTCACATAGTTATTGTTTAAATATCACTTACAACGGGAACATCAGGTGACTGATCGGGGTATTTTAATGCGCTTTATACAGGCTGTTCTTGAGCGAAAAAAAAAACGATATGGTCCGGTTGTTCTTGCCAATGACTCATAGTTTCGAAGAAATTGATTTTTAAAAAATGAGTCTAGTCGGTTGATATAGAGGCGGGACGCTTCATATGTTTAATCATCGATGTTGAGCAAGAGCAGATAGCACAAGCAGTAAGGCGTTGGCTGTACGACGTAAATCGCGTGTTCAAATCTTGTCACGTATATATTTTTTTTTATTAAAAATTTGTTCGTATTTGTAATTATTTGTTATTATTTGTAATTATTTTGTTACTAGATAGATATTAAAAAAAATTATTTATTTAATTATATCTCTATATTTTTTGTAAATAAAGTTTTTAGGTAGTTATTGTAATAATTTGAAAAATCTCTATAAAGAAATATTAATAATCTTTATAAGTTTAATTTTAATTTAATGTTATTAATTTTAATTATTTTTTTATTGTAATAAAATTTCATAAATTTACAAATAAATAATTAAATATTCCTGTATGAAATAATTATTCCTAATCAATTTCATCAGAAATTATAACGATCTTTATTACATTCTTATTTATGCGTCCATATGAATAATGACGATGATGACACTGATGGACGATCGTCGAATCAAGGTTAGAGAGAGCATAGCAGAGGCTATGGGCATATCGAAAGAATGCGTTTGTCATATATTGACTGAAGAATTGGATATGCGCAAGCTATCCGCGCGTTGGGGGGTGCCGCGCTTGCTCACTTTGGACCAAAAATGAATTCGAATGAACATTTCCAAGGCCCTGTTGGAGCGGTTCAAGCGAAACGAGTCAGATTTTTTGCATCGATTCATAACTGTAGATGAAACTTGGATCCACCACTACATTCCAGAGACAAAAGAACAGTCAAAACAGTGGACTGCAAAGGGTGAACCTGTTCCGAAAAAGGTGAAGACGGTTCCATCAGCTGGGAAGGTAATAGCGACTGTTTTTTGGGATAGTCACGAAATTGTGTGTATTGACTGTCTTGAAAAAGGTAAAACAATAACGGGAGCGTATTACACATCATTACATAAGCTGAAGGCAGAAATTGCAAAAAAACGGCCGCATTTGAAGAAGAAAAAAGTGCTGTTCCATCAAGACAACGCACCTACTCACACTTCGGCGGTCGTCATGGCCAAAATTCACGAACTGCACTTCGAATTGGTTGACCACCCACCGTATTCACTAGATCTGGTCCCCAATGACTTTTTCCTGTTTCCTAAGCTTAAAATTTCGCTTGGAGGACAGAAATTTTCATCGAATGAGGAGGTCGCATACGTAAACGCTTATTTTGCGGAGCAAGACGCCAACTACTATTTGGTGGGGTTAAAGAGGTTAGAGTATCGATGGGAAAAGTATATCGACTTAAAAGGAGATTATGTTGAAAAATAAAATTATATTTGACCGAAACTACTTGTTTCTATGTTAGGCTCAAAACTTTTCAGATTATCCTCGTATAACATATCCATCTTTATTTATGAAAATATTTCTGCACTGTCTTTTTTTATAATTGCCATTTCTTTATTGTTTGCTATTTCTATTTTTCCTCTGATTATTTCCTTTATACACATTTTGGATAATATATACAGTATGGAATGTTAGACGGAAACGGAAAGAATATTGTGCAAAAGTTCGATTTATTAAAGTGTCTTTTATTCGCGACTTAAGAACAGTTTGTATATGTCGGTGTCCGTCGGTCGAATTTCCTGTCCGTTGTTCTGTATCAGCTCTTTGCTCTATACTTGTTTCCTTCGAATTATTCTTAAATAACGAATATCTTAATTCTTACAAACAAATACAGTTTCGAAGGAGAACCTGTTTGCTATTATTGTTTGTCTCTTGTCTATTATCTTGATCGTTAAACGTGTCGAAATATATTTTTCAACCCGCAAGAATTCGATATTACAAAGATTTGAAAATAACAATCATGGAATATGTCTAGTTTCGAATAATAC